AATAAAAAACGTACCTTCCCTAAGTACAATTCTGTAAGCCGTAATCTGACCCTAACATCCCAATATCAATGTCTTTTGAACAATGATCCGACTTGTAATATTTCCAGACCAAATCTTTATTTAAAAATTGTAAATTTGGTGATAAGAAGTTTAGAACGAACGAATTTCTTCCTTTACGAGCCGCGTAAGTAGATTCATAATGCTTTACTCCGTTGTTTTACTAGAATTCACGACCAGAAAATTGCGGAGGTTTATTAAAATTAAAGTTTCCTATTGAAAAAAAACTTTCAAGACATCATCATTTCGATTTTGCCACTGTTGTCGTGGTACAGTCTATTAAATGTTACTGCAGAATTTAAAGTTAAGTTCCCACTATCGAACTACATTTCACCTCGTAAAATCCTACAAATGACCTTTATTTCGCTAAAAAAAAAAATTCGGAAAATATTAAAACTATTTCCGTTCGTGATCCAAAAATTAAAATTTGCACTCATTGTTAACGCCGAACGTAACAGGCGTTTTTTTTGGTTTGAAATGACGAGGAACACTGGACAAGAATATTGTCACGCCGTGTCCCTTGCTGTTCTGCTAAAGAGTGAACTATTTTTCTAAAGTTTTCGATGAAAGCAAAGAAGACACTGGTTACATTTCATCGTGAACCAGGTGAGTACGTTACGTATTTGACCTAATCAAGTAAAACGTAATCGTTTTTTGTTTCTTCTGAAACGTTAACGTTACTTTACTGTGCATCATGACGCGAGTTTGCTAATACTGAGGTCAAAATGAATGCCGGGATTGGCCGAGCCAGTACCAGGTTGCTCAAGTGGCATGTTGCTTAGCGCGGACTAAATCTTTGTTGATGTTGTATTCGATCCAGTGTCCAAAAGCTACGCAAAGTCCTTTAGATTAATCTCTTTGGAAACCTTTTTGCGTTTTATGATGGGTCGAAGAGATCATTTATCCTTGTGGGAATATGAATATGACCGTGGACATACCGAAAGGTACAAAATTTAAACGAAAACCTTTTTCTTTCAGTATGTGGGTTCGCGTGCTTACTGACGTCGGTCCTAAATTCTTACACCTTCCGCTCAATTCCATTTCACAGCCTCCATGCTTTCTGTTATAGATTCTCAAAAGGCTTCAAAAATGCGTAAAAAGTTTTGTTCGCAACCTTCTCTCGCTCTATGATGGGCCGAGGATAACATGCAAACCGAAGATATCCTGAAAGTTACGTAAATCGAAGAAAATCTGTTATTTACATTTCGTGGCAACGTTTCGTTCATGACGTCTTCAGTTTCCAATACAGTTACGATATACAATCTCGCCTGTTCCTTTTCCTTTGTCCGATTTTTATTGGAAGTTAATTGATAGCTTTACTCCCAAGGTTTTCCCCAGGAATAAACATTTAAGATGTCAATATACCGATCTGTCGGGATTGTCAGACAATCGCGTGCTACCAAAGTAAGAGACTATGAATTCATGAGAACTATAGAAGATATTCTCTCTACCAAAATTATAGAATGCAAGGAAAAATAACCAATAAATATCCCTTTACTCACAAAACTGCTAAAACAGACCGATCAGAAGCAAAAACCAACGCATTTCTTGCATTTACAAGACCTGAGTGATATACTCACCATTATTGATTACGTAACTTTATGGACATAAAATCGTGTAGCATTGTGTCATAAATTCTGTTCCATCCCGATTAAGGTAAACTTTTTGGAGCTAAAACAAAACTACATATTCCACGAACAATTGAAAATGAAGACTAAAGGCGAAGGAATTGGCGCTGGAGTAACGAAAAATGCAATTCTCAAAAGCGCAAGGACTACTAAGGCCGGAAAATGTAAACAGAGCTTGCTGACTTCATGTGAGGCTTTGCCACATTTTAGCTATTATTTGGACTGGTAAATCTTTTTTCTCTCCATATGGTCTTAAGGTATTTTCGATCGAAGATTTTGCCTTTAAGTTATTCAACTTTCGGAATTTTTAACACAATGCTACGCGATTTTATGGCCATGAAGTTATGTAAACCGTGACGGTAAAAGATCGCTCGGGTCTGGTAAATGCAAGAAATGCATTCGTTTTTGCTTCTGATCGGTCTGTTCTAACAGTTTTTTGAATAAAGGGATATTTCCCAGTAATTTTTCCTTGCATTTCATTAATGATATTGGGCAAGAGGATATATTTTACAGTTTGTATTCTCATGAGTTTATAGTCCCTTGCTTTGGTAGTACGCGTTGTCTGGTAATCCTGATGGATCGGCATATTGACATCTTAAATGTTTATTCCAGGGAAAAACCATGGGAGTAAAGCTATCAATTTGACCTCCAATGAAAATCAGACAAAGGAAAAAGAACAGGCGGGATTGTAATTTGCAGCTGTGATGGAAACTGAAGATGTCATGAACGAAACGTTCGAAATGTAAGTAACAGATTTTCGTCAAGTTACGTAGTTACAGGATATCTTTGGTTAGCATGTTCTCCTCAGCCCATCATAGAGCGAGAGAAGGGTCCAAACATAAAAACTTTTAAAATTATTGAAGCTTTTCGAAACTCTACAACATGAAGGATCGAGGCTGTGTGAAACGGAATGGAACGGAAGGTGTAAGAATTTATTACAGACTTCAGCACGAGCCCACAGATTGGCAGAAAAAAGTTTTCGTTGAAATTTTATACCTTTCGGGATGTCCAGTCATTTTCACATTCGCACATAGATAAATGATCACCTCGACTCATCAGAAAAAAACAAAACGTTTTCCAAACAGACAAATCTAAAGGAATTTGCGAAGCTTTTGGACTCCGCATCTCATACAACAACAAAGATATAGGCCGCGCGCGCGCGAAGCAACATGGCCCTTGAGCAACCTGGTACGGGCTCGGCAAATCCCGACATTCATTCTGATCCCACTATTAGCAAAATCGCCTATACGCCCACGATGCTCTTTGCTGCATGTCCTGAAAAGTGAAGTCTTCATTGGGGCGGAGGGTGGGGGACTCGGCCCCCTTTCTCTGAATTTTCTAGATCGCCCCTGCCAGGGAGCATTTATGGCTGCACGAAATGAGAGGATGACAATATACAGTTGATTATATCAATGTTTTTTATTATTATTAGTTTCCAATCGACCTGATTCGATTTACAATGAATTCAGGACATTGATTGTAAGTAAGGAAAATGCTCCCATCTTGCAAAGAGTTATTTAACCTACAAAGGGTTAACATGAGCCTCAGCAGTTTCTACCAGGTTGATTTTGTCGCCATCACCGGTCCTGAGAATGCGATGTTCTACAACATGATTTGGGGGCAGTGTGACCGGCTGCTTTGTTCTGTGCAAAACAAATAAAAAAGAAGAAGAAAAAAGCAGCTATAAGAAAAAANATTGATTACGTAACTTTATGGACATAAAATCGTGTAGCATTGTGTCATAAATTCTGTTCCATCCCGATTAAGGTAAACTTTTTGGAGCTAAAACAAAACTACATATTCCACGAACAATTGAAAATGAAGACTAAAGGCGAAGGAATTGGCGCTGGAGTAACGAAAAATGCAATTCTCAAAAGCGCAAGGACTACTACGGCCGGAAAATGTAAACAGAGCATGCTGACTTCATGTGAGGCTTTGCCACATTTTAGCTATTATTTGGACTGGTAAATCTTTTTTCTCTCCATATGGTCTTAAGGTATTTTCGATCGAAGATTTTGCCTTTAAGTTATTCAACTTTCGGAATTTTTAACACAATGCTACGCGATTTTATGGCCATGAAGTTATGTAAACCGTGACGGTAAAAGATCGCTCGGGTCTGGTAAATGCAAGAAATGCATTCGTTTTTGCTTCTGATCGGTCTGTTCTAACAGTTTTTTGAATAAAGGGATATTTCCCAGTAATTTTTCCTTGCATTTCATTAATGATATTGGGCAAGAGGATATATTTTACAGTTTGTATTCTCATGAGTTTATAGTCCCTTGCTTTGGTAGTACGCGTTGTCTGGTAATCCTGATGGATCGGCATATTGACATCTTAAATGTTTATTCCAGGGGAAAGCCATGGGAGTAAAGCTATCAATTTGACCTCCAATGAAAATCAGACAAAGGAAAAAGAACAGGCGGGATTGTAATTTGCAGCTGTGATGGAAACTGAAGATGTCATGAACGAAACGTTCGAAATGTAAGTAACAGATTTTCGTCAAGTTACGTAGTTACAGGATATCTTTGGTTAGCATGTTCTCCTCAGCCCATCATAGAGCGAGAGAAGGGTCCAAACATAAAAACTTTTAAAATTATTGAAGCTTTTCGAAACTCTACAACACGAAGGATCGAGGCTGTATGAAACGGAATGGAACGGAAGGTGTAAGAATTTATTACAGACTTCAGCACGAGCCCACAGATTGGCAGAAAAAAGTTTTCGTTGAAATTTTATACCTTTCGGGATGTCCAGTCATTTTCACATTCGCACATAGATAAATGATCACCTCGACTCATCAGAAAAAAACAAAACGTTTTCCAAACAGACAAATCTAAAGGAATTTGCGAAGCTTTTGGACTCCGCATCTCATACAACAACAAAGATATAGGCCGCGCGCGCGCGAAGCAACATGGCCCTTGAGCAACCTGGTACGGGCTCGGCAAATCCCGACATTCATTCTGATCCCACTATTAGCAAAATCGCCTATACGCCCACGATGCTCTTTGCTGCATGTCCTGAAAAGTGAAGTCTTCATTGGGGCGGAGGGTGGGGGACTCGGCCCCCTTTCTCTGAATTTTCTAGATCGCCCCTGCCAGGGAGCATTTATGGCTGCACGAAATGAGAGGATGACAATATACAGTTGATTATATCAATGTTTTTTATTATTATTAGTTTCCAATCGACCTGATTCGATTTACAATGAATTCAGGACATTAATTGTAAGTAATGAAAATGTTCCTATCTTGCAAAGAGTTATTTAACCTACAAAGGGTTAACATGAGCCTCAGCAGTTTCTACCAGGTTGATTTTGTCGCCATCACCGGTCCTGAGAATGCGATGTTCTACAACATGATTTGGGGGCAGTGTGACCGGCTGCTTTGTTCTGTGAAAAAAAAAAGAAGAAGATGAAGATGAAGATGAANTGGTTTCCGTAACTTCGTATTTTTCCAAATTTCCTCTTTTACATGTTATGCCGTTTTGCATTTTCTTCAACGTATAATTTAGTTCAGCGTCGATCATTTATCATCCTTAGAAGAAAATATTCTGATCTTTACGTTTAACTATAAAATTGCTTTGGCTTACATTGTGCGCATAAAAGGAGCGTTAAATTAAACATGAGTTGATTCCACGCGAGGGTTTTACCTGGAAAAATGCCTGCACACGAGAGACACCGACATTACCGCGTGTCCCTTTCTGGAAAACATTCGTGTTATGACAAGAAAGGTCAGCTTAAGGGTTTTGGGTTACCCAAACTATGCAATTTTGACGCCGAAAAGTGCCAAAAAGTAATTACAGAAACTTCATCCGCAACACCTTGAACGTGCTGTGGGCGCGAACTGAGATCTTCTCTTACAGTTAATAATTGCCAGGCGGAACTCAGATCCGGCTAAGCCTAATTTGCATAAATTTTTTTGGTGGGCAAAGCTCGTCATGATTCCAGGAAAAAACCTTGGGAGTAAAGCTATCAATTGAACTCCAATGAAAATCAGACAAAGGAAAAAGAACAGGCGGGATTGTAATTTGCAGCTGTGATGGAAACTGAAGATGTCATGAACGAAACGTTGCCGCGAAATGTAAATAACAGATTTTCTTCAAGTTACGTAGTTACAGTATATCTTTGGTTGGCATGTTCTCCTCAGCCCATCATAGAGCGAGAGAAGGCTGCAAACATAAAACTTTTTAAAATTATTGAAGCTTTTCGAAACTCTGCAACATGAACGATCGAGGCTGTGTGAAACGGAATGAAACGGAAGGTGTAAGAATTTATTACAGACTTCAGCACGAACCCACAGATTGGCAAAAAAAAGTTTTCGTTCGAATTTTATACCTTTCGGGAAGTCCAGTCATTTTCACATTCGCACATAAATAAATAATTACCTCGACCCATCATAAAAAGCAAAAAGTTTTCCAAACAGACAAATCTAAAGGAATTTGCGAAGCTTTTGGACTCCGCATCTCTTACAACAACAAAGATATAGGCCGCGCGCGCGAAACAACATGGCCCTTGAGCGACCTGGTACGGGCTCGGCCTATCCCGGCATTCATTCTGACCCCACTATTAGCAAAGTCGCCTATATGCCTACGATGTTGTATGCTGGACTCGGCCCCCTCTCTCTGAATTTTCTACATCGCCCCTACCAGGGAGCATTTATGGCTGCACGAAATGAGAGGATGACAATATACAGTTGATTATATCAATGTTTTTTTTATTATTATTTTCCAATCGACCTGATTCGATTGTCAGTAATGAAAATGCTCCCATCTTGCAAAGAGTTATTTAACCTACAAAGGGTTAACATGAGCCTCAGCAGTTTCTACCAGGTTGACTTTGTCGCCATCACCGGTCCTGACAATGCGATGTTCTACAACATGATTTTGGGGCAGCGTGACCGGCTGCTTTGTTCTGTAAAAAAAAAAAAAAAAAGAGGAAGAAGAAGAAGAAGAAAAAAAAGAAGAAGAAGAAGAAGAAAAAGCAACTAAGAAGGAAAAACAAACCAAAACCAAACAAGCTATGACTGCCTAATGATGAAAAAAAAAAACCTAAAAAAGGGGATAAAAAGGACGGAGCCCCTATGGCACAGATACATGAACATAATAAGTGCATTTCTGCTTTCATGAGCGTTGGGAGTTTTGACTTCCTTCATAAACACTGGTATTATTGCATGGAGAAAAGGTACAAAAAAAAAAAAAGGTTTAAGCTTTACAGGGGATTAGTCTCAAGAGAAACTAGCACAGAGCCGTTCTTTTCAGGCCCTCCTCATCCCAGTGATGTCTTCAGCTTCTTCAATCGTGAAAAAGCAAAACAGGGGAGCCAGAATTTCAAAAGGGCATTTCACAACCGTCAAAGCCCATTCATAAACAAAAGTCTTACTTGTAAGTAGTGTGAAACTGGCATTTGTGGTAACCACCTCCTTTGAGCACAAGGAACATAGTCACATCGCCTTTCAACAGCCCTTCAGAGACAGTCATTTTTTCAAAGGACGGGTCCCAACCAGTGGTCTCTTTTTTCATTATGGGTCCGTCAGCAGGAAAGTTTACGCCATGAAACATGGATTTG